TTAGAAAGTTCTTATAATTTTATTGATTGAAAGTTTTGATTTTCTCAGTTCTTTTTAAACATCACCGATCATTAAAATTAGAAAATACTAATATACATTGCCAAACAGAGTTAAAACAAAGAGTTAACATTTACGGTTTGTCTTTTTCGTAACCTCTTGATCAGGAAGAAAAAAATTGAAGAGAAAACCCTAGAAGAAGATGTCGGATCTTAGATACTCGATTTGGTGTCGCATCAAAAGATTTGTAGAGATCTGATGGAGACGATCTAAAAGAGAGAAGACGAGAGGAGATGAGAGGGAGTAATGTCGGATTCTGATAGAGAGAACGAGAATCAGATTCTGGAACCTGGAGAAAAGCTTATTGATCCACCTTCTTCAATCGATGAGCTTATTCCTCTCAGTGACGGGAGTTCTCTTCACCAATCAAAATTCCTTTATATAATTTTAATTCAATTTGGGGATTAGGGTTTCTGTGTGATGAGATCAAAATTCCCTTTTATAATTTTAATTCGATTTGGGAATTAGAGTTTCTGTGTGATAAGATCATCTTTGTTTTAACAAAAATCAGAGAAAGAAAAGTTCTTGCCTTGCCGTACAACAGGTATGGAGGAGGCTGCTACCAAGTTTTCTTTTATTAAAAGGCTGCCAAATAAATACGGAAATTGATTCAAGTCAGTTTTTTAACTACAAAGATTTCTATTTTGCGAATCAACTTGCCTCCACGATGCTATAAAGGATTACACCAACTTTCTATTTTGATGTTTTGGTGGAACCTGTGATATTTCGTTGAATATTTCTTTTAAAACTTGTCTTTTTTATATAATGTGGACATATTAGTGGAAAAAAAATATCTAATGTGGTTATTGTATTTGTATGCAGGTTGTTGGTGACTTGATAGAATCCTTTTTGGGGGCTCTTTTCCTCAATTGTGAGTTCAATTTGAATTATGTCTAGAGATTAATGCTATCTTTCTTAGATCCAGTGAAAAACTTGTCTAACATGGAGCTTAGTCCTGAGAAAGAACTTCTTGAATATTGCCAGTTTACAAGTGAGATCGGGAGATATCAGCGACAAAGAAGGATGGTGCAATCTCTGTTGAATTAAAAGTGACCAAGAAAGGTTCTTGCCTTACAGCTTCTGCAACTGATCGGCTGCACCGATGATGCTACCTTCAAATATAACTCTTTCATCTAAGAAAAAACATTAAATTTATTTATATAAGAATTGTTAAAGTATTTTGTTCTAATAATTCCTTACCTACAAATATAATTATTTTTATTTTACGTATTTGAATTATTTGTTTGTCAATCTTGTGTATATAATTATTTAATTATATATTTTTATATAAGAATTGTTAAACCATTAAATTTATTTATATAAGAATTGTTAAACCATCTTAAATGTAAACAAATTAATATAATTTATTTATAGAAACAATTGAATATCATATCTTACATATAATTAGATATAATACTACAGAAAAAATTATAAAAAACGAGGTTTAATATATTTATGTCAGTAAGGAATACAATAAATCATAGATTTCTTAAACTTAAATAATCTAAACATAATTATATTAATTAAACCCACTTATTCACAATATATAATATTAATGATTATTATTCAAAATTAGAAAATTATATTAGTGTATAATTTCATTGGTTTTTGACTTTAGTAGTTTTTTATTTTAATCATATATAAAAATAAAAAGTAATTCTAGAACTAATTAATACAAATTACCAAATAACACAAATAATATTACAAATAATGATTTATGCTAACTAATTTTAGAATTAGAAAAATAATATATATATGTTTTACCAATTTCTTTATATTTAGTTATTAATTATATAGAATTAAATAAAATAATTTAAACTTTTTTAGAAATAAATTTAATAGTTATAAATATTTATATAAAATAATTAGATTTGTAGGTAATGAATTATTAGAAATATTTATGTTTTTAATGCCCGCAGAAAAACGTTTATGAAAGATCTTCATGATAAAAGTCTCTCATCGTATTGGTCATATTGAAGCTACACAAAAAATACTTTTTTCTCTCTCTCTCTCAAAAGCTAGAGTATTTCTGGTTTTCACGTGTTAATAAAATATAAAGTCATTCTACAACCAATTATTTGAATTAATTATAATATTGGTTTTCTGTAGGATAAAGATTTTTAATGACTAAGGATGTTATTGACTTCTTTTTAAATCTCACAGATCTTTTAAAAATATATAATGAAATTTTAGATTATCTAACTATTTGAAGTTAAAACTTAAATTTCATATTTCTTATTATTCTTCAAAAATTATAACAGTATAAACATAATATATATTTCATCATATAATATAATTACCCACATAATTGCGGGCAAACACCTATAACATGAATATAATGTACAATTAGAACTGAACACTATAAAAGCATAAATTTAATATTTCACCAAAAATATACAATTACAGCATTCATACAACATAACTTCACTTAGTGATAATATAAAATATATAATTTCTAAAACTGAACACTATTAATTTTTCCATATTTTGAAAATTTTATGTCTGCACAGGCCGCTTCCGGAAGAGAAGCTATGCAACTCGTTCTTTATCTCTACCATACTTCATTATGAATATTTGCGCAGACCCTATCTCAGCATTGAAACTCTCGCTTGTCCCAATTTTTTCCACATTGAAGATGCACGGTATGTAAGTATCAATTTTCTTGCATTTGCAATACATGGAGATCGATGAATTCAATACGGAAACATTTCTATCAAGATCCAATTCAATCGATATCACACTAGTTCTTTAGTACATATGTGTTAACACAAAAATACTAATGGTAAGCTTAGTTTGCATATATACGTATATACTATTTGATCTTAGTATTATTTATTACTTTTGGCATTTAATTAAGTTAGGGCATAGGAATTACGACTGGTGGGACCATTTTCAATACTTGTGACAAATATATACATGGAGCAAAAGATGCCAAATGGTTATGTTATTCACTGAGAATTAGGGCTGCGATTTATATATGCTCCGATCCATGCCGAAAAAACGAATATCCAGAGGATTTGGATGCAGATCCAAATAGTGATTTTACGGATTCGGCCAATCGGAATCCGAATTCGGATAGTAATATTTTAGTTCAGATATCCGGATCCAGATCCGACCCACTAAATATTTTTAAAATATTTAAAATATAATTATATTTATATAGATATATTATATCTTTTTATTAAAATAACTAAAACTTAGTTTTATTTAATTTTATTAGTTTTTAAAAAAAATTTGCAAAAAGATTTTTTATGATGGACTCCATTTTGTACGATGTGTGCTGCGTTAATTGTTTCAGAGTCTTGAAGGTCTTGTTTATAGACCATATAATCACCCACATGATTTGTTCTATTTTTATAGACCATATAATCACCCACATGATTTGTTCTATTTTTTCCTTTCATTTATACGTATCGAAGATCATTGTTTAATAGGTCATCTATTCTTTCATTATTCAATACGTTTAATTCTAGAGTTTTAATTGGATATGCGACTGAAAAAAGTTAAATATATTTTGATATTAATAAAAATTGATGATAAGGAAATTGCAAACTGCTTTTATAAAAATAACCTCGGGTTAGGGTCGTTACATAATCTTTGAATTATTGGTATAACTTCTATTTATAAGACAAGCATTTTCAATATATATATATATATTAAATTACACAACAAACTTAGGTAGCATGTGTTCATCGTGTCGTGTGAATGTAACTAAAATATTATAAAGTGTTTCTTCCTTTCTTAAAGCATGTGCTAATAATATCGTTGGTCAAGTAAATAATTTTTTATTCGTCAACAAAATAATTAGCCAAGGAGACAAGAATCATTTTGGGAGATTGAGATTCTAACTTGCAGTGCACCACCTAGTTGTAATTTTGCATATTACAGACAAAATATTTTTTTTCTTTCTCCCAATTTTATTTAGTAATTTGCCACTGTCTCCACGTTACATTGATATGGAAATCTCAAAATTAATTAAAGAATGACAATATGCCTTTGATTTTTTATACAGTCTGAAAGTAATGAGCTGGAATCTTTTCTGGCAATAAATTTTCAAATATAAATATCCCTTTTACATAACAGAAAACCCTCATGTTTGTTAAGTATATTTCCACAAAATTTAATACGACTATGAATGATTTTTTTAAAAAAAATTGAAAACATATAGTAAAATATAATCTTTGGAAATTAGCTTAGTCCAGTGATTTAATCTATTATATTAAAAGAGAAGTCATGACTCACTTCATGTGTGATTTTTTAGTTTGAATCATCTTTAGAAATTTTACAAAATTTTACATAATATCATTATAATATCTTTTCATATCTTTAATTTTTATTTGAAATAAAAATAAATAGGTTTAAGAAAATTCTAACAAAATCTTTTAAAAATCTTTTAGAATCTTTTCAAGATATAGCTTTAAAAATTATTTGATTAAAATTTTAATTATCATAAAATATAATCACAATTTTATTTCATTTTTATTTATAACCAATTTTAAAATTATGTAAAATACTTTTAACAATATCCCAAAATTTTGATTATGTATTATGTAGGTCCAACTTAATTTACCTTTTACATATATTTCAAATTTAGAAATAAAATAAAATATATAAATAGTAATGTTACATAATAATATTTTTAAAAATTGTTACAAAAATAAAAATTTATAAATTTTATATTAACAATATTATGAATCACATAAACATTATTACAAAATTGGATAGTATACAAAATCAAATTATATTTATTTGTTGATAAATTTTATTATATAATTTCATATATTTTTCGTAAATACCCGCACGGTTGTGCGGGTCGAGATCTAGTTAAGGATTAATTCATACTTCTATATCAAGAGGTTCACGTTTTAATCTCCAACAAAAACGAATTAACGCGCTTCCACTAAACTCACATCACTGTCCATCACTCTTATTTAGAAATGAATTAAATCTCGACCGAACAATAAAGAGCGTGCGAAAAACGCGCGAACAGCAACCGCACGATCTCACACATTAAGGTATGATTACCTAGTAGCTCCAACAGGTGATGGTTGAATGTTAATCAATCAAGCTTCTTCTTCGATATCGATTATCTTACATGGCACAATCGAAACAAGACACGTCATATCCTTGCCAATATAGTGAAATTTTCACCCTCGATATAATCTACCCATATAATAATCGCAGAGGACTACAATTTTCTCCACTACGAAGACTTTCCACATTCTCTCTCTACAAATTTTAACTTTCTTGTTTATGTAATGACGGAGCCGACAATGAATCTCTGGACCACCGACGATAACGCTTCTATGATGGAAGCTTTCATGAGCTCCTCGTCCGACATCTCAGGCTTATGGCCACCGGCAACGACAATAGCAACGACGTCGACAACAGCTCCGGCACTGGCGGCGGGATTTAACGAAGAGACTCTCCAGCAAAGGCTACAAGCACTAATCGAAGGGACAAACGAAGGCTGGACCTACGCCATATTCTGGCAGCCGTCGTACGACTTCTCCGGCGCCTCCGTGCTCGGATGGGGAGATGGTTATTACAAAGGAGAAGAAGACAAAGGAAAGGCGAGACAGCGAACGACTCCACCGCCGTTTTCAACTCCGGCAGATCAGGAGTATCGTAAGAAGGTGTTGCGTGAGCTCAACTCGTTAATCTCCGGCGGAGGTGGGGCGACGGATGACGCCGTCGATGAGGAAGTGACTGATACCGAGTGGTTTTTCTTGGTTTCGATGACGCAGAGCTTCGCTTGCGGTTCTGGGTTGGCGGGTAAGGCGTTCTCGACAGGTAACGCTGTTTGGGTTTCCGGGTCGGATCAGTTAACCGGGTCGGGTTGTGAGCGGACGAAGCAAGGAGGAGTCTTTGGGATGCAGACCATCGCGTGTATTCCTTCGGCGAACGGGGTTGTTGAACTCGGGTCAACGGAGCAGATCCGGCAGAGTTCGGATCTTATGAACAAGGTCCGAGTGCTTTTCAATTTCAACGGTGGCGCTGGCGATTTATCGGGTCTTAACTGGAATCTTGATCCGGATCAAGGCGAGAACGACCCGTCCATGTGGATTAATGACCCGGTTGGAGTACTCGAGCAGTGTAACGGAGCTCCGAGCTCTAGCTCCCAGCTACTTGCCAAGTCGATTCAGTTTGAGAATGGTGGTAGCTCAAGCACCATAACCGAGAACCCGCACCCGGATCCGGCTCCGAGCCCGGTTCATTCCCAGACCCAAACTGCGAAATTCCACAACAATTTTTCCCGAGAATTAAACTTCTCGACGTCTAGTACCACCTTGGTGAAACCAAGACCCGCCGAGATATTGAGCTTCGGCGATGAGGGTAAACGGAGCTCCGTGAACCCGGATCCGAGTTCTTATTCGGGTCAGACTCAGTTCGAGAATAAGAGAAAGAAGTCGATAGGTTTGAGCGATGACAAGGTTCTATCTTTCGGAACCGGGGGAGGAGAATCCGACCACTCCGATCTAGAAGCTTCCGTCGTGAAAGAGATACCAGAGAAACGTCCAAAGAAACGTG